AACAAACGGCCATGCCCTAAAGTTTCGAACCGAACTCGTTGAAGGGGCATTTCCAAATTGATCCACCTGCTCCGCGGTCCTTATGCTCACTGGTCATGAACTCCAAACAAATCAGATTGAACATGAGACACGTTGGATTTGTCGACCGCAGAGACCTCCAAACTGTGATGTTGCCGCAGTGCAAATAAAGCTATGCAGAAATATATTGCAACCAAGCTGCATCCATGGAGCATACCAACGGGCAAAAAATCTTCAGGCGCTTGGAAACTGCTCAGACAAGAGAGCATCTGCTCTGCAAAACCGTGAAAATCACAACAAACATGAGCAACTGCAACAGGGTCGAACCTTGCAGCCCCCTTGGCCTTGTGACCCCGAGATCCCCACATCTAGTGCCGTACAAAACAAGCATTAAAAGGGAGTTTCCCAAGAGGACATGGGAAAATTGAGGCCTGGGACCCTGTCTGTAGAAAATTTGGGCGTGCCCACTGACCCCCCCCCCATTCCTCTAAACAAGCACTGGTCTTGTGAGTGCCTCATATGGTGTCCCATCCACCAATCCGCCCCAACAGGGACCGGTCCCGCCTGCCAGGCCAACCAAAACCAAAAGGAGCCTCAGGCAGTGCCAAGCGTGTTGCCCTCTGACTGGCCGTCGCTCAAATGACGTGAGCCAATGGATTGCCACGCCAGGTAAAATGGCTGCGGCTCAAATAAATGTACCAAAAATGTCACCTTGGTAAATGTAACCAAAGACTAAAGCCTGCGTAACCCGAGCTCTTTAATTTTGAGCCACACCTAAATCAGTTTCGACTCAACTGTAAAACAGCATGGACATCATTTGATTGGCATAGGGGGGAAAGGAGGCTATCGGGGGGAAAGGAGGTAATCAAAATCGAGCTGTGAAGATTGCAAGGCATAGACAAACCCATGCCAAGAGTGTCAGCGTCTCCAGATTGTTACAATAGATCCCGGGCCCGCAACAGGAGGATTCTTTGGCAAGGCTTGTTTCAACAACCGGCATGTTAACAGGCGTTCAGGTCAGAGCATGGCTCTCCAAAAGGGCACACAACGCATCATGTACCCCACACTGTGTGAAGCTTTCCCTAAGACAGAATCTGGCCGATTCTTGGACTCAACTCCGGGAAAGGGCTTCCCAAAGACGAACTCCCGTATAAAAGGGGAGATTCCCTGGTATCACGGTGGGGATAAGCCCCGAGTGATCCCACAACCCTGATGTTCAGCGCCTCGCAACCTCTCGCCCGAACTGCCGGACTGGCTGAGCTCTGATTTTCTGAAGCCAAGCCGCGCGCGCATATGAAAAAAAAAAAGAGAGAGGGGTACGGAGGCCCCGTGCCTGGGGGGTTTCTGGCACGAGCACGAGCCAAACGGCTGGGAAAGAATCACACGCTCAAGGCTTGCTCCAAAGACCCATAAACTAAATCGTCTTCCCTTAGACTTTTTGTTCTGGTCATCTTTTCAGACTCGGAGTAACCCTTGCTGGCCTTGTCCTAGCAAAGCCAATGTAAAGGCTTCAAAGACTTTGCTCATGTAAAACAGCTCAACCAGAAGCCAGTTAACCAAGCACAAAACCAGCTAGTGAATCTGGGAAACAACACCCGACCATGATGAGCAACCAATGAATGGGTAATCAAATTGCCAGTCCTTGACAAGCTCAGATCATCAAGAGTGATCTTCCTACTGCGATAGTTGCCCATTCTGTAGGGCTAAGGAGAGTCACACAGTACTGCTGAACATGAAGTGTAAAGTGTCCCGGTCTGCCCTTGAATAATCCTGATACTCTTTCATGAACTTTGCCCGCGATGGTACGTCCTCAGCATAACGAGTGGGGTGATGAACAACTTGATCCAAGATACCAAAACCCTGCCGAAGGCCGTGTCCAACAAGCAGCCAGGCAAACACCTGACTTGTGAACATCCCGGAAGCAATCCAATGAAGAACCATCGACCTGAACCTGATAAATCGTTTATCCTTGAAACAGCTGCATCCAGTCACGGACTAGTTCGGAGTAAATCTCAATCAGGAACCAATACAACAAGCTATCGGCTTGAAACAGACCCCCCGAAGGGATGCCAATCGCCAATGACCTAAGCCCAAATTCCTGAGCAACATTTGAGGCCCCAGGTCAAACTTGACTGTGGCTCGTGTGATCAGCTTTGTTTTTTTCAAGGATCCCTCAACCACGGATGGACACCACCATCATGAATGTACAGCTGCCCAGCGACCCCGGTAGAAAAACATCGAGGAGCTTTTCGGGCTTGGCCAGTTTCAGTGTTCGGACTCACCAAACAACCAGTAATTCCGAGGGTGGGAATTGGCCGAGTATGGAAGAGTACATGGCTGTGGGTCAAAACCCTGTACCCCTGGTGAACATCAAACTAGGTGCCAAATGGATGTTCATCCACCCCAAAATGGGATCGCCATAGGTTATGCAACCCATGGCCACATGGCAAGGCGAGACATCTGCCCCCCTCCTCCAACCACTCCAGCTGCTGCTGTCCCACTGCGCCATTCAGCGGCACCCAGCGCATGGCCTGGGCAGGCCAAAGTGATTGAGCTCAGGCTGTGACTTAAAAACTAAACCTCGGTTGCTTTCTGCTCCCCTGCTAAAAGTTTATGTTTTAGTGGTTTAATGAAAAGTTAAAGTCCTAAAATCCAAACAAAATGCAGCACAGAAACCAAGTAGGGGGTCGTCTTTTGACCCCCCCAGTCGTCAAGGCTATGAGGTCGCATGCGCTCATGTTCCCAAGCATATCCCAAGGCGCTCCCGTTGCACAATGAAACAACTGGCCGCCACAGGTCCCAAGTGACGCGTCACGAAGAACAAGCGTGTCATGACTCAAGCGGCAACATCACAAGGAAGTTTACCCGTGCAAACAGCGTTGTTAAAGCCATGAATTCAGGTGCTTAATAGTTTTCACCGCAACAGCCAGCTCCTGATTTTGAGTGCATGGAACAACAAGTGTGCATGTCATCCTGAAATTCAACATATATATATATATATATATTTATTTATTTGGACAAACAAACAAGCAGGGATTTGGAGGGAGCGGGGGATATGGGGGGATTCCCTTGGCGCCATTACGCGCCATTATTTCCCATCTCAAACTTAGTCAAAGTGCATTTAGGGGGAATCCTCCCGTATCCCTGGTTCCGTTTGTATCCCTGCTAGTTGGTTTCCCTGATACATATATATATACATATATATATATATATCAGTTTCAACACATTGTGCTAATAAGTTGCCTAAGCCAGCAGAGCGATAAACTTCGTATTGGGTTCCTACATGCTCCTTCAGCCAAGTTTTTTGCAAAAAAGCTTCAGCGTCCTATAAATGGCTTGAACAGGAAGCCAAAGCATTGCCTGGTGGTCCAAGCAGGACAAGAATTCATGTCGGCACTCTGACCCGAAGTAAATTTACCACTATCACTGTCAGAGAACGCGTCTTTTCTGAAAGCATTACATTCCGCCTCCCCAATTGAAAACCGGAGTGCCAGGTCTACACATTCTGGTAGGAAACACAGCCTGGTGCAAAGAAGGAGGCTAAGCCGGCCACAGGACCTTCAGGGATGCCTCGGGCGAAGTCCTGAGTGTGAGAGAAAAGCATGCGGTGCCGTTTCTGCGGTCATACCTCATCCCTAGAAATCCGCAGCATCGAGACGTGGCTGAGTACCTAGCGAAGTAGTTGTCAAAGGCTGGTTTTCCAACCTATTGACCCAGCCTGAAAAGATAATTACATGTTCGGTGCACCCTCTCAGAAACGTCCCAAGAGTCGTGTCATATCTCTGCGCTCCTCCTTGGTGATGTCGTTGGGGTTGCGCGCCTCATGGCGCAGAGCTCGCAACGCACGGGGCGATATGCACAAATGCAAGGGTGATGGCAACCAGTACGACCGCCGGGACGACAAAGAGGATAACACCAACGACTCCAGGACACTGCTCGAGAAGCGAGACGCAACGCAACCAATTTTTCACGAAACGACTCGAGAAAAACCGATTACGCCAACACAACATCAGCAGCGACAACGACAGCAGCAGCAGCAGCAGCAGCAGCAAAAGCAGCAATGAAAGCAATCATGATAGCGGATGCATGACAGACCCACGGACAAACACGCCACTGACAACAGCGACGGCGGCATTGCAATCGACTGCATTGTTCCTCGTCATCAATACACAAAACAAATATAGCATAACAAAACACTGCAGAACAAAACACAGCGCGATAGTCAGTAATGATCAAAGTCGCGGAAGAAAACAATGCTTGAACATGAAAATCAGACATTCGAACAACATGACGCTGGCAGGTATACGATAGAGCAACACACGACAACACAAATCAACCAAAACTAACTACAGTACACCATGGGGCAACACCAACCTAACACGCCAAAGCTGTCATCAAGCGAATCCCGAAAACACAGCAAAGCTGTGCCGCATTCCCAACAGCTGGTCACAAATCACGAATAGCCAGGAACAAACGAGCATAACTTCAGAATCCACAATCCCGGCCAAACATAGAAAAGGAGGGGCCTCTTTCGTAACCCAAGGACAGCACTAAGGAGAACCTTTGCGCAGCATTCAGTGAGGAAAACAGTCGTGTTTCAGATAGTAAATAATAGTTAGAAGATCGTTCTGGCAAAAATCAAGAGCAATCTAGGAGTGTGTCATTCTCACCCATGTCCCCTCTGTTTCAACCTGGGCTCCTGAGAATGGGTGGCGAGATATCTGATGTTGGACCTCGAAGGCTTCAGGGGTCCTTCTGAGCGGCAAACGCCAACTCGCCGACTGATTCCATTGACGTCCTGGATTTCGCTAACTTGCTGCGAAACAGGAGGCCTGAAGCAGAAACACATCCATCCCTTCTTTAATTTGCTTCCTGTTGGGAAGTGCATAATTGTTTGTATCTAATATGTATATACATGTAAAACTATATCACTATGCACATTGCCAAAGGAAGTTTAGAAGAAACGTCCGCACCACTGGAGCTACAGTCACGCAGCTGTCTGTAATAATTGCTCTTTCCACAGTACATATATGCATTCTCCGGGCGTCAAAATAATTTCTCTGGGGTGTATTCATTCCGCGGTTAGGGCGCCCCGTATCGTTTTGGCGATTTGTTTATTTGTTGTGTTTGTGCTCTTTTTGAGGTTTTGCAGCATCGTTGCTTTGGACGTCCCGTATCGTTTTTCGAGAAAAACACAACAAACAACAACATGTGCAGCGTACAAACACTCCTGCATAATAAATGATGGTGATTTGGAAGCTGACTCATGTGCACAAACCATCTCGGTCGCGACACCTATGCGAAGGCAGGTGCAGAGCGGTCTCCGAGCGGGTTCGGAGACTGGTGGGTCGACCTCCAAAACCTTTGATCAAACAACTTTCGCTTCGCTCGACCCTCTGCGGACTTTCAGCTGGCCGGCCTGCAACAAGCCTGCAGACTTTCGGTGGGTCGGCCCCTGCGTTTGTGTTTGCTTTCGTGGGCTGGAGAGAAAGAGAGAGAGAGAGAGGGGGAGGGAGGAAACAAAAACAAAAAGACAAAACAAACAAAACGCAAAAAGGAGAGAAGGAAAGAGAGAGAGAGAGAGAGAGAGAGAGACAGAAAGAGAGAGCGAGAGAGTCAGAGAGAAAAGGATAAAGAGAAAGATTGAGAGAAAGAGAAACATAAAGAGAAAGATAAAATATTTAGAGAAAGATAAATATTGAGAGAAAGAGAAAGGAAAACATAAAAGTGAAAGGGAAAGAGAAGTAGACGGACACAAAAACAGGGGAAGATAATCATTAGGAAAAAGAAAAGGATATACAGGAAGAGAAAGAGAAAGAGAGACACAACGAAACATATAATGAGAGAGATAAAGAGAAGGATAAAACAAAGGAGAAAGAACATGGTACCGAGAAAGAGAAAGAGACAGTGAAAGAGAAACAGAGAAGAACAAAATAATAACTAAAAACAAGCGAGAGAGAGAGATAGAGAGAGAGAGACTACATGGAGAAGGGTCCGAACCGACGACAAACATACGTATCAAACCACGAAGGTGTTTTTTCAATTTAGTCCTAGCTTGCTTAAATTAGTCGTCCGTATGCCCCCCTCTCTCTCTCGAGAGAGAGAAAGATAAAGAAGGGGAAAACCAGCGTGCTCCAAACTATAGCTCTCATATTCGTCCCGTGGTGTATTTAGAAGAGAAAGGCCGAGCTCTGTTTTTCGGCGCCTGGCATAGCGCCAGCGCCTCAGGCTCCAGCTCCTGACGAAACGGTCTACGTCGGGGGTCCAGTTCCCCGCAAGAGGCACGTCAAAACTTGGTTGCTTTCTGCTCCCCCGCTAAAAGTTTTTTTGTTTTTTTAAATACAAATATCATTATTACTGTTAGTGGTTTAATGGAAAACGCATTAGTTGGCAAAAAGTTAAAGTCCTAACATTCAAGCAAAATGCACCAAAGAAAAGGCAAGTCATCTTCAGAAAGCTTCACCCGCCTTTTTTGGGTCGAACATCCTCGGAGAATTGAATGGAGATGTGCCCGAATCAGATGGTCAGAGGGTGTACCTGTTTGGTGGCATCGCCGTCAGCTGTGGAAGTTGGTTAGTGGGGACGTCATCTGGAGCTTTCCCTCTGTGGCACACGAACAGGGACGAACACACATGCCCCAGTCCGTGTCATCAATGCCGGGCCGACCACCGCCGTGGCTCATGATGCCTCGGCCACAATATGTACCGAGATGAGTAGCTGTTAACACTTTACAAGGCCAGAATGATGTAGCAAGCATGATGTATTATGCAGCATGTTCACAGTGTCTGGCTTCGTCTCTGCTTCACACATCGCTATCACCAGTCAGGGCTGCGGCTGATGTCGTAAGGATCCAGCCTCAGTGAAAAAAGCAGGTTCAACAGACTCAGGCGCCTTAGCCAATCGCTCGGCCACTCCTGGGAATAGTAGAGGTTCACTGACAGTCCGACCTATGATTCGAGCAGATCTGACACATCTGATTCAAGCAACTCCTTCCCAATTGTCAATACGGTCTGGCTTTTCTGCCAAGAAGGGAATTGTAACCAGCTAATCCAAGGGCACCAATCCCTCTCTCCGCCCTTTGATGGTTTAATGTTGATGCAGGATTAATAAACCTGTCCCATTATTGGGGGGGTGTTCCCTCCTAGAGTGATGAATCCCCACTAAAAAGGGGACACCCCCTATTAATCAACGCAGGGGTTTATGAATCCGGGGTTAGCATTATGGGGTTGCAACACATCCCACTTCGGTTAAGGGCTGTATGGCAAGTCTGGGTCCTGGGAGCTCTGCGCTTAGGCACGGGCACGCAAACACGCCAGCCTTCTGCGGGGCTGAAGCCTGGAGACGTGACGCTTGAAGCATCAGGGACATGGGGTAATCTGGGCTGCCCATTTTCTGATCCCCCGCCAAAAGTGACGAACTTTTAGTGGTTTAAATGGAAACTACCACTAAACACTAAAAGGCTAAAAAGCTAAGGGGATGGCTGGGGGCCACCAAGTAATTAGAACCCTGATTGATAAAAGCCGCGGAACGGATGTCCCAATGAGTGCTGCGCGATCCTGCCCTGGCGGATCATCCCCTCTTCAGCTGACAGGTTCATTCAGTTCATTACTCCGGGTCAGCATCAAGTGTGAGCATTACTCCTTCCGCTGTAGCTCCCTGCAGCAACACACCAACGATTAGTGTCACTACCTGTGTCACTGGAAAAAATCGTGAACTTGTAAGTGGACCCC